GTCACGGTGACAATTTAAGTGGTACCAGGTGAAGGATGAGCTAAAATTGTAGAATGCAGCGAAAATTTAGGAAAAGATCCTTGTACAACGCGTTTCTAAGTCAGGATCAATTGTTCATCGGTAGTCAGAGCACAGTTGCATAACTATTATTCGCTATATCTGTCTCGGATGATCGAGTATTTCTTTCAGCCTGTGCAGCACGTGCCAAAAACAGCAAGGATCGGCTGATATACCCAACGAGCCGTTCAAGCAGCGTTTAGACAGGCAATGATCCATACAGGAAAAGGACGCGAGCAGAAAATCTATAGATCCCGTGTTTCCAGGCAAACCGAGCCAACAACCGGTCCCAAGATCCGCTTGTCTGGAGCCTCGGCCGGTAGCCGGAGGCTGGCGACGTAATAAGGTCGATAAGTCGAAGACAAGGCAGGAGTACCTCGCGAAAGAGGCCGACGCCGAGGGACGACCGTCCGAGGTGGACGAGGTCCGGGCGTATCTCACCACGGGGACACCAGAAAGCCGTGAGACGTCATTGTCGGGTTATCCTCGAGCGCGTGGACAGGCTGGCGTTAATCACGCCACGTGGACGCCCGTCCCGAATCGTCGATACATCAATGTCCATTAAATCCCCTTGAATCGGCGCGACGCGATTTATATAGGTCGCAGGCGATCGTGGAACCTCGCGAATCGCACGCGTGCGAATAAATGAACGCCTGGTACCGAGGTGTGCCATAGGGGACACTCGAGGTGCTCGATTAGTCGAATAGCGAATATTAGGATTGTTGAAAGTCAGCTACGATGACGACAGGCCTGTTAGAGGTTATAGGCCAATACGGACCTTTGGACATCAAGGGGTCGGTTTTGGGGGCTTAAATGGACCTGCTGTCTCTCGGAGCTCTTCACTCTCAGACCAGGAACAGTACAGATACTTTACATATTGTGACCCACAGTGGCATTAAAAGAGACTCTAATATTTTATTTGTATATTGCATAAAGTGTATAAATTTCACGTATATTAAACCTCTATAAATACAATTGCTGTATAACTGAATACGGTTACTTCCCTGCACGTTAATCACTTGGCTATTTCCTCCACGAAATTGCCAACAAGGATTCGTGGAGATGGTAGATCTGATGGTAATCTGAGGTTGTAATCCTGGAGTAGATGAGGATGATGAAGAGCGCAGAAGCGTATTGAAAGAACAGCTGAAAATTAATTTTACCTATGATACCTGCCTCTAGTATATGGGTAGGCACAGAACTCTCAGTATACATACCTATATATGCCAACCTATGTGCTATTTAATTTGTTAGTATATCATGCTGTCATTAAAATTGTTAGAGTCTCTTTTATTTTATAGTATAGCTTAGGTATCTAAGCAATTACAGTGCTGGGGTCATTGACGACCAGTTTGATCCTACTGAAAAAGCAAAGCCTAGTCACAAGTTGACAATGCCACAGTCAACGTGGTGTATAGAGCTATCTTCAGTTGTGTAGAGGCTAATTTTAATGAACTTTTAAGGCTACTCAAAGGGGTACATGGGTACAGTATGAGTACAGGGCACAGAAGTTGAAACAATGTGAATTCGATTGCTTACAGTGAAGTGGGCCTAGCTTAGGTATCTTAGTTTAAGTATCTAAACAATTACAGTGCTGGGGTCACTAATGACCAGCCTGGTCCTACTGAAAAAGCAAAGCCTAGTCACAAGTTAACAATGCCACAGTCAACGTGGTGTATAGAGCTATCTTCAATTGTGTAGAGCCTAATTTTAATGAAGTTTTAAGGCTACTCAAAGAGATACATGGGTATGGAATAGGTACAGAGCACAGAAGTTGGAACAAAGTGAATTTGACTGCTGACAGTGCAGTAGGCCTAGCTTCCAATAGCCTAATATTGATTAAAAGTATCATGTAGTATGAGATAATGAAATGAATTAGTACTGACCACATATTACAAGAAGTATTGAAGGATACCTCACATCATTGCTCATTCCCATCACCAACAGATAACAACATAACCTCACAATTTGGCAACAAATTAAATCTCTCATATCGTCAATCCAACGACAGATTAGGTCTCTCAGATTCACAATAATAACAATAATAACAGATCCCCAACAATAACAAGCTAAATGAGATCTCTGTGACAGAAGCTCAAGCAAATTGGAGGCTGGATTGGACTGTGTATCATTCACAAAAGAGTCTGACCAACTTCCCGCACTTGCCCTCTAAAACAGCAAAATTTCCAAGCAAATAATCCCCACGAATGTCCTTCAGCGTGCCCCTCGCTACGCTCCACCCCTCCGCTTTTCATTAAAACCACTGATCCGCTTAAAACAATTGATACCTCGTCGCCCTCTGCTAATCTGCGTTGAAAACATGCCCTAAAGGAAAAAGAAAAGGGAAGAAGAGGAAAACGCACGTCGTCCCTTTCCGAATACTTTGTAAGTATCTCTGTTAGCGTTCCACCCTTTCCACGCGGCTGCAGAGTGGAATAAAAACGGCGTGCCGGGGATGCAGACCCTCGCTCGTCCTCCCCAGGGCGCCTCGAGCGTAAAGCTTTACGCTCGCGTTTCCATCATACCGCCAGCGCCGATTACGACGTATCGCCCGTTAAAAATGCATGCAATTAGCTCGGACGGCTTCTTAGTCCCCGCTTCCGACCCCTTTTCCACCCTTGCCACCGTCGGGTGACAAAATTACGATCTACCGGGTGTCGTTAATACCACTGGAACGCGTGGCTCGCGGAGAAAGAAATTGCACGGAGCTGAAGAGCGGAGGGGGTGGCAGTGACGGGGGGAGAGACGGAAGATGACGCGAGAGAAGAAGGGTGGAAGGCGATTCCGGCCGGGGGCACGATCAGAGGGGGTTAGGCGACTGTTTCGAATCGATAGACAGCCTTGATACCCGAGGCCCACAGCCTTGGTGTCTGGCGGTTCCACGTTAGGCGATAGGCGTCTAACCAGAGGTATAAATAGGTGGAATTAGGTGGGACGCTTTTAGACGGCGCTCGTGTCGTGATTACCGGAAACGGAAAGGGTGGTTAGAGGCCGCTTTGGTTAGCTTTGGTGTCGAGTTCTTTTCTTCAAAGTACCACCATTTTATAGGAAATGATGACTTTTTTAAGTCTCTAAACTGTACGTTTGGTGTCGTGTTCTTTTCTTAGTACCACCATTTTATAATAAAATGGTACCATTAATATTATAGTAAATGTTTCTAATATATTATAGTAAATGGTTCTTAGTACCACCATTTTATAGTAAATTATGGCTTTTTCAAGTCTCTAAATTGTACGTTTAGTGTCGAGTTCTTTTCTTCAAAGTACCACCATTTTATAGCAAATGATGACCTCTTTAAGTCTCCAAACTGTGCCTTTGGTGTTGAGTTCTTTTCTTCAGAGTACCACCATTTTATAGGAAATTATGGCTTGTTTAAATCTCTGAACTGTACGTTTGGTGTCTTCTTTTCTTCAAAGTACCACCATTTTATAGCAAATGATGACCTCTTTAAGTCTCTAAACTGTACGTTTGGTGTCGAATTCTTTTCTTAGTACCACCACTTTATAGTAAAATGGTACCATTAATATTATAATAAATGCTTCTAATATATTATAGTAAATGGTTCTTAGTACCACCATTATACAGTAAATTATGGCTTTTTCAAGTCTCTAAATTGTAAGTTTAGTGTCGAGTTCTTTTCTTCAAAGTACCACCATTTTATAGCAAACGATGACCTCTTTAAGTCTCCAAACTGTACATTTGGTGTTGAGTTCTTTTCTTCAGAGTACCACCATTTTATAGGAAATTATGGCTTGTTTAAATCTCTGAACTGTACGTTTGGTGTCGAGTTCTTTTCATCGGAGTACCACTATTTTATAGTAAGCTTATAGTAGTTTTCTTAAATCCCTAGACTGTAAAGTATAAACTGTAAAGAACTGTAAAGTTTGCCTGGCTATTAAAATTTATGTCATTTGTCATCACGTATAAATTAAACTGTTCACTGATGTAATTACTTCAGGTAATCTGGAAATAATACATTTCTAACTTGGAGTGATTTAATCTAAATTAGCGATTAATTAACGATATGAATATAGTAAAATGTCACGTAGTATAGTTACACTTGACAGGTGTAATATTGTATCTACGTTCATGAGTCATCAAATTTACTAGTTGAAGGAACAGATGCTTACTGAAGCGGATCTTTGAACATTTGTGAATGAATTATGCTAAATAAGCTGTATCGAGTATCGAATAGTCCTCATTTTCCTCGTCGAAGTATTTTTATTTTATTGAAGAATCTCTAACATAATTTTGCACCTACTAACCAAAAAATTGAAATTCAACAGTATGACATTCTAAATCCCCTAAAAATCATTGGAAATTTTATATTGACGACAGATATTAAATATTAATACACGTGGAAAGGTAAATTGCTAAATCAGGGATTTAAATAAATTCCAAATTCTTCCTGATAAATTTTTCTTAATTAACTTAACATCAAATTTTTCTTTCAAAAATGAGAAGTTTCTTTCTACATACATCAAGGACTCTTTCCATTAGATTAATCGACATCTGACTAGACAGGTACTATATCTAGATATACGGAATTATATAGATAACATGCACACACATATGACGTAAAAGATACGTATATTTAAAATAAAAGATTTACACGTACTCGAAGCATGTTCGAGATAAGAAGTTTTCCATAAAACAAATCAGAAATAAATATATGTAAAAGATAAATCGTTTCCTCATACCTAACTAGCAGATTCCTAAAATTCAATATTGCACGTTAGCATGCTCGTGTTAGTGTATATGTGACCGGTATCAATCTGTGACCTGATATCAGTGAAATTCATGCGTCAGCGGTGCTGCGTGTTTTCGGTACGTGAGCGATTTCCACATCAAACGTGCCACTGCAACCGCGCAGATTCCTTTAAAAACCAGACTCGCTGCCAAGATCGACACAACAGTTCTGAGCTGAAGAAGAATCAGAGAAAATGTATCTGAAGAACTCTCTCGCTCTTTTCTTCGTTGTTCTGGCAGTAGTCCAGGCAATTCCAACGACGAGGATCGAAGATGCGTTGCACGAGGAGAAGCTCCAGCTGGAAGAAGATGTCGAGAACAAGGACAGATCGAAGAAGTCGGTGCTCTTCTTGAACCAGCCTGCAGCGATCGTTCCAGCTCAGACGTACAGCATCCAAATGCCTGGCTATCCTGTTCAAACCCTAAGTATCCAACAACCTGAGTCTATTTTCAACATCCAACCTGCTCTTCAGACTCTCAGTTTGCAGGCAGCACCTCAGCTGAGCATTCAGTCGGTTCCACAAGTCGTGGAAACCCTCAGCATCCAACCCAGTGGACAAACAGCACAGTTCCTTAACATCCAGTCTGTGCCACAGGCTACAGAGACTCTCAGCATCCAGCAACCGATGCAGTCTGTTCAAACTTTGAACGTGCATGCAGGTGTACCGCAAGTCCAGACCCTGAGCCTTCAATCTAACCCACGGCAGATCCTTAACGTCCAATCGGCACCACAAAGTGTTGAAACTCTCAGTATCCAATCGAATCCTCAGCCGTCTCAAGTTGTCAACATTCAATCGGGATCACAGACTGTTGAAACTCTCAGCATCCAACAGCCTGCACAATCTGTTCAAACACTCAGCCTCCAATCCAATGCTCAACCTGGACAAGTTCTCAGCATTCAACAAGGACCACAGCCTGTAGAAACTCTCAGCATCCAGTCTAATGCTCAACCAGGGCAAGTTGTCAGCATCCAACAAGGACCACAGCCTGTAGAAACTCTCAGCATCCAGTCTAATGCTCAACCTAGGCAAGTTGTCAGCGTCCAACAAGCACCACAGAGCGTAGAAACTGTCAGCATCCAACAAGGACCACAGAGCGTAGAAACTCTCAGCTTCCAATCCAATGCTCAACCTGGTCAAGTTCTCAACATCCAACAAGGACCACAGCATGCAGAAACTCTCAGCATCCAGTCTAATGCTCAACCTGGTCAAGTTCTCAATATCCAACAAGGACCACAGCATGCAGAAACTCTCAGCATCCAGTCTAATGCTCAACCTAGGCAAGTTGTCAGCATGCAACAAGGACCACAGAGCGTAGAAACTCTCAGCTTCCAATCCAATGCTCAACCTAGTCAAGTTCTCAGCATCCAACAAGGACCACAGAGTGTAGAAACTCTCAGTATTCAATCTAATGCTCAACCTGGTCAAGTTTTCAGCATCCAACAAGCACCACAGACCGTAGAAACTCTCAGCTTCCAATCCAATGCTCAACCTAATCAAGTTCTCAACATCCAACAAGGACCACAGAACGTAGAAACTCTCAGCATTCAATCTAATGCTCAACCCAGTCAAGTTTTCAGCATCCAACAGCCTGCACAATCCGTCCAAACTCTCAGCCTCCAATCTAATGCTCAACCTGGTCAAATTCTCAGCATCCAACAAGGACCACAGCCTGTCGAAACTCTCAGCATCCAATCCGTACCTCAGACTGTAGAAACCTTCAACATACAACAACCTGGCGCTGTTCAGACTCTGAGCCTAGCAGCTCCTGTTCAGACTCTGAGTCAGATCCAGGGTCAAGCTTTCATTCAGTCAGGTTCTACTCTGTTCTCTCAGTCTGTCCCATCGGTCAACTACGTGGAGACCATTCAGCCAACTCAGTTTCTACCTGCGGAAACCAGCCTGAACATCGTCCAACCTGCAATGTCTGTCAAAGAGGTTCAAGTCGAATCCCTGTCAGTGCCATCAAACGCAGTCGTCGAGACCATCAGACAGGAAGTTGTTGAGCCTGTGAGAGAGGAAATCATCGTTTCGCCATTGAGCAACGAGGTGGTCGAGAACGTTGTCTCTGTTGTACCAGCTTACAGAGACCAAGTGATTGTCAGTCCTTCGAATTCTTTTTTAATGATGGCCGAGCCGGAAGTACTGGCTTCCTACCTCAATGTACCTCAAGCTTACAGCTACAGTCCCCGAATTCTCACCGGTCTGAGGCCTTCAGGCCTAGTCGTGGAGGAACCTGTACGAGTCCTGCAGGAACACGCCATGGTGGACACCGTGCAGAAGAGCAGAGTGTTGGGAGGTCGCGTAACGGAGTCACTAGTGTCACGAGTCATTTAAAACGTAGGTAAACATAACTGCACGAGTATTAGTATTAGTATAACTGCACACAACAATTTAACACCCCAATTTTGTCAATGTAATTACGCATACTATCTTGATACATTCTTAGTATAGCCCGAACATTGTCATAGCTTGCATTACGATATTTATGTAATTTATATAATCATGCTTGCCTTTCATTTCGCATAACTAGATTATATATTTATACATGGGACAAGTTATACCAGTGTTGTGGACTCGATTGAGAGCATTTAATCGTTCACTATTAATTACGTTTCATTTCCTTGGTTCGCAGGGTTTATACGACATCTATGGGGTGGAGGGCTACAGATAATACTGAACCTAATTGTAAAAATAATATCAATATTGTATCATTTTAACGAGAAAATACAGAGCATGTAAACATATATGTGACATTCGATATTATCCTTCCAAAAATTTCAGTACCTTTCTTTAAAATTAGAATCACAGAGTTAGGTCAATGTCAAGTTTATACGCTGACATTGGTCACTTCCGTTTAGGTCATTCACACGATACATGCGATATCAAAATGAGCGAGCAGTGACATCGCATGGTTCCAAAGTAGACCCTAATGATGATTCACCTACTACCACAAAGGCCTAGATCATATTCCCATAACTGAAGATAGTAGGCACGAAGATCCAAAACGATTCCGCAAACTATACCTTCCATATTCATAGCAATATCTGTATATCGTCACTGGGTCGATCTTAGATGGCGACGATTAGTGACGGACGGTTCGTTGAGGAAGGTTGTATCTACTTAGCTTCGAAGTGTTAAGTGGACTGTATTTTAGAAGAACTCTCGTCGTGACTGTTCTGTCGGTGGTTTTATAATCCTCGTCTGTCTACTAATTGATTGCGAATAATATTGGAGTGTGGGCTAGCTCCAGCATCTTCCGATGGTGGTGTTTGTCTAAACAATCTGGGTCCTTAGGCCTGTCGTCTTAAGGGTGATATATTGTTGCCTCTTACGGTTTGGCCAAGTGGTGGCTTAGGTAACAATGAGCGTATAGAAGTCAAGGGATGCTGATGATCAGGACATAAGACAGTCCTCCACTTGACCTGGGACATTGCGGTCCTAAACTGGTACTTTTAAAATTTCAGAGCCTTCGCATTTAGATACACAGTGTGTCCTAAACAAAATGGTGAACGGACTACCGGAAACGATATTTCAAGGATTAACAATATCTTCATCGGTAATTAATTTCCAATAAAAATATGATTAAAAAAATAAATAAATAGAATTGCTTAAATTCACAAAATAAATCATATTGCCATAACTGAAGATGGTAGACGCAAAGGATCAAGGCGCTTGCGCTTCACGTCGATTTCACAGACCCGCGCGACATCTAGGGGCGCTATAAAAGGTCTTAATCGGAATTCGAATGGAGTTCGAGCAGCGCCACGACTCTCGATACGGATCTGACCTCACTTCGCTCGAGATCGGCGTGTGCTCGCGCGCGACAGCACCAAAACGGATGACGAGCGACTTCACAATAGCCCCGAGTCCGAGAGATTTACGATAACGTCGATCGTCCCGCGAGTCGTTCATTCATCATGGCGGAGACAGCGCGCGACTGTCAAAATCGGCCGGCAACGTCGCGAGTCCCGAGCGGTGTCGCTGTGCGACGCGACGCTCCGAATCCACCCGAATCCACCCGATCCGGTCCCCTCGTCGCGCCCACGTGATCCATCTCGATCACGATCGGCCGCTTTTTAACCGCTTTCTGCCGACCGCTCACGCTGAGAAGCGAGTCGAGCCAGGACACTGCTAGGGAAAAAATCGACACGACTTTGTGTCCCTTGAATTCTAACAGGGAATTCGTCGGGGCCCCTCTCGATTCGCGATTTGTTTCCAGTGTTGTAGCTTTGAACGTTACTCGCGACGACACGTGGGTCCAATCCTCTTTACATTCGACGAGCTCGAGGTTAGGCTGGTGTGGGTGGTACCGTGAGCTCTGTCAGAGTGGTGATGAATTGTGAACCGATTCGGTGAAACTTTACCAAGTCTGCTACTCTGTTCTATCGTTTCGTTATTTGCAAAATGCAAGTTTGCTGATAGTAATTCAAAACGATTACAGGAAATGGAAAATTATAAATAGGGTCCGTTGACCAACGTCTAACTAGCGGTGTCTGTACTAAATGCATCCAAATCATCGCTCCGATAACGTTCTAGCGCTCAGACAGTAGGACTTGGGCCCCGCGAGAAACTGAACTGAATCGCGTTGGGTGACGAACGTGTTAATTAACAGGATTTGCATTGCGTGGGTCGCATATGTGTTGTTCTGAATTTTCTATTGGGACTGTTATTAGTAAATAAAAGAAATATTTAAGTTGGAATAGCGTTTGTTGACAGTATGACTATTTTATTTTTAATGGGTACCTAATTAGAGAGGGAAATAATGGATAATAGTAATTTCAGTGGTAGGATGAAGATTTGTAATTAATTAACAGAATTTGAGTCGCATGGGTCGCATATGGGTTGTTCTGAATTTTCTATTGGGACTGTTATTAGTAAATAAAAGAAATATTTAAATTGGAATAGCGTTTGTTGACAGTATGACTGTTTTATTTTTAATGGGTACCTAATTAGAGAGGGAAATAGTGGATAATAGTAATTTCAGTGGTAGGATGAAGATTTGTAATTAATTAACAGAATTTGCGTCGTATGGGTCGCATATGTGTTGTTCTGAATTTTCTATTGGGACTGTTATTAGTAAATAAAAGAAATATTTAAATTGGAATAGCGTTTGTTGACAGTATGACTATTTTATTTTTAATGGGTACCTAATTATAGAGGGCAATAGTGGATAATAGTAATTTTAGTGATAGGATGAGGATAAGTAATAGCGTTTGTTGACAGTATGACTGTTTTATTTTTAATGGGTACCTAATTAGAGAGGGAAATAATGGATAATAGTAATTTTAGTGATAGGATGAGGATAAATGAATATATTAATTCTAGTTCTATCTTTATCACAATACCAGTCAAAATTCAATGCGAGCAAACTTGGGGCCCCATATCTCTAGTCCAATCATCCCCAACGTCGTCATGACAGACACCCAAAGATCTGGCACGCAACGGGACCGATCGATTCGCGTCTAGGAAAGCCAAGTCGCGGCATTTATCGTCATTTGTCATCGTCGAAAGAAGTCCACCAGCAATTTACCAAGGGGAGGCTTAACGAGTCTTCCCAACGTCCGGCGTTGGCCACGCGTGGCAGCTTTTGATCTTGATTAGAGGACCGCTGGAAAAGCGAATACACGGAGAGGATCGGGGCCGAGTAATACATCAAGAAACCTATATGGATCTCGCCTTTCTTCTAATTCGGTTTCAGGAATATATCGTTGCTGTTTGCGACCGATCTGTGACCTTGATTCTCATGGGTCAGACGAATCATAAATGTATCATAAATGGTTTTCATTATTTGATACTCTTTAACATTGAATTTAGTGACTTGTAATATAACAGAAATCTAGGTATAGTATATATATGAAAATAAATAAGTACATAGAGTATCCCATTCTAATTTTTGGATGTAATTATTAATTAAATTATTGGTCATTCTACAAAATGGTTCAGACAAATGGAGGAATTATATGTTATGGAGTTTTAAAAACTTAAAGAAATTTAAATTTAAAAAATTGCGCAGCATTTTTAAGGGAATTTTATTTAGAAATAATTAAATAATTGGGTAATATTCTTTGTGGGAATTTTTTAAAGGAAATGCAAAAATTTTGATAGCTGTTTTAGGGGTGATAGTGATTAGGGTTCATAGGTGGGACTTATTTTAGGGGTGACTCGAAAAATTGGATGGGATTTCTTTTAAAGGTAACTCAAAGAATTGGATGACATAATTTTACAGGTAATCCGATATATAGGGTGACACTTTTGTGAAGGTAGGTAATTTAAAGCATATAATTACATATTTTTATAGGTTACCAAAAGAATTTGGTACCATTTGTTTACAGGCAACCAGAAAAATTGTGTGCCATTTTTCGAAGATAATACCAAAATTTGATGATATTTTTTTAAAGGATAATCCAACAAATTTCGTCACACATTTTACAGGTAATCTAAAGAATAGGGGTGCCATTTTTAACTCTAAACGTACCAAGCGGTGTCAAATGACCCTTTTCGAAATTTACTTCATAATTGTACATTCATTATTATTTCTTTCATCTGCCTTTCTGTAAATTCTTATATTATCCGATTGTTTAATTTCTTAAAATAAAAATTAAAAATTCTTTGCGTACCCTATGTACCACGAGGAGTCATTTCACCCCTTATGGTAAAAGTAGGTACGTTTACAGTACTGGTACGTTTAGTGTTAACAGGTAACTCAGAGAATTGAATAACATTTTTCTTCTCTTAAGTAATAATTAACCTTGCGAGTGAAATAATTAACCTGCGATTAATTGGAAGAAACTTAGAAGGAACACTGTATCCACCTCCCTAATTTGCTATCCCCATAGTCTCCTAAAATTAGCGTTGTTGACCAGGAAAAAAGGTAACACACGTAGAGGAGGACAAAAAGAAACGTAACACAGGCATGCAACTTTCTCTTCGAGCAAAACGCAAGACCCTCGTAGAATCTCTTACGAACATCCTGTCACAATTTAACCGTGCGAGCGACCGGTTGACCAACGCCGTCGGGCTAGCCGAACTTTCCCTTTTGTATCGTGATAAAGAAACGGACGCAGCGTCGCGTTAAGGAGTAACTCGCGGCGCGTGGAACGCTGAACCTGCACGAACGAGAGAAGGGTAATTAACGTGAAATGGCGTTTTTATTGTGCAGCGATTCCATCGCAAGAAACGTCGTTTAATTCGACGAGGTTTTTAAGAAACACCCGTGCACAGGCGGAATACATTTAGGGGAGAGTTTCGTTTAGTAATATTCCACTGGCTGTCTGATTATTTCTCTCGTTACGCGTTAGGTCAATCTCAGAAGGGATGTGCCATTTTCGCTTAAC